AGGTAACATACACATTTTGAAATTGGTAAAGATTTCAGTTTTCAAGCGAAAATTGTTACTTATGGAAAAAAAGGGGGCTGAGCAATTTTTGGCATCCATTACACCATCATGCCTCCTTATTGATAGATTGATATACATTTCCTATTTGTTCTTTTATTTTATCATCCTGTAGGATTCTGATCCATATTTGATCTGCATTTGATCCTTAACTCATACTTGCATGGATATCTTCAAACAGAACAATTACAAATATATGCATTCCTCGAAGGACCAGCCAAACATCCTCTGCACTATCGCTCAGCAAAGTGTTCGCTTGCTCCGTCACGTCCTGCAATAGCTTGATGACCACCCTACTAAAGTCATCTACCTGTTCGACCTGACATTTGTAAACTAGCGACGACCTTATATGGCAGACCGCACAGCCGCTGGAAGGACGTCACTTCCATCAGATTAATCTGGCGCTGGAGGTCTGCCAAGACCGTGAGAGCTGGAGGGACAAGGTGCCTCACGTGGTGGGCTCGACGCCTTCGTGGCATGAGATTTAGCAGCAGCAGCAGCAGTGGAAAATACAAATTGTGAAAAGACATTATGCATCCAGTGCTCCAAGCAACTTTTGGAATGAAAAAATAATAAGCATCAAAAGGATCATGACTCCAGAGAAGAAGAGGGATGAACATTTTTCTTTTGTTATACTACATAAGATTTTTTTATCTAAAACTAATCTCTCTCTCCCCCTCCCTCATTATCTCTCTCTATCTCTCCATCTCTCTCCCCTGCAATCTTCCCCTCTTCAGCTCTCTTCCAGTTCGATCCCTCCATCTCTTCCTCTCCCCCTCTCGATTCTCCATCTCCCTCTTTTCATCTTACGCTCTCTCTCTCTCTCTCTCTCTCTCTCAAGATATTGTTTATTTTCAGATTTAATGGGGGGGTCCTTTAAACTACTTTGAAGCAATTTATTTATGGGGCATTGGCAAGAGATGTTAAACACTGCTATCTTCCTTCTTTGTTTCTTTGTTTCATTCTTTCATTTTTTTACTGAAACCAAGTAGTGTCTTTTCCACTATTCTACGCGATCAAAACAATATAGAAAAAGAAGGGTATTTGAGAAAAAAATAAAAAATTATTTATGATGTATTAGTAGGAGACATTAAACACTTCTATTTTCTCTTCTTTTTTTTATTCATTTTCTCACTGAAAATTTTTCTGGACCTGGCCTGGGTGCATACGCACCGGACTCCCCACATTAAACTGACCTTGTGTCACATCTTGCCATTATAAGGCGGCAAGAAAATACAAATGCTTCTCAGCTTTTTGGTTAAAGATCAAAGTGTAGTATCTATTCTTGTCAGTTTAATTTGATTCTCTTTCCACTTCTATCATCATTCTTTCTTTCATTTTCACACTGAAACCAAGTAATGTCTTTTTCTCTCTTTACACGCGATCAAAAAGGAATAGTCGATTATTTATGAGGTACTGGCAGGAAACGTTAAATACTTCTATCTCCCCTTTCTTTCTTTCTTTCTTTTTCTCATGAAAATCAAGTAGTGTCTTTTCCCCTCTTTCCACGTGATCAAAACGGAATAGTCCATTGTTTATGAGGTATTGGCAGGAGACGATAATTACTTCTATCTCCCCTTTCTTTCTTTCTTTCTTTCTTTTTCTCATGAAAATCAAGTAGTGTCTTTTCCCTCTTTCCACGTGATCAAAACGGAATAGTCCATTGTTTATGAGGTATTGGCAGGAGACGATAATTACTTCTATCTCCCCTTTCTTTCTTTCTTTCTTTCTTTTTCTCATGAAAATCAAGTAGTGTCTTTTCCCCTCTTTCCACGTGATCAAAACGGAATAGTCCATTGTTTATGAGGTATTGGCAGGAGACGATAATTACTTCTCTCTCCCCTTTCTTTCTTTCTTTCTTTCTTTCTTTTTCTCATGAAAATCAAGTAGTGTCTTTTCCCCTCTTTCCACGTGATCAAAACGGAATAGTCCATTGTTTATGAGGTATTGGCAGGAGACGATAATTACTTATCTCCCTTTCTTTTCTTTCTTTCTTTTCTTTTTCTCATGAAAATCAAGTAGTGTCTTTTTCCCTCTTTCCACGTGATCAAAACGGAATAGTCCATTGTTTATGAGGTATTGGCAGGAGACGACAATTACTTCTATCTCCCTTTCTTTCTTTCTTTCTTTTTTTCTCATGAAAATCAAGTAGTGTCTTTTTCCCTCTTTCCACGTTATCAAAACGGAATAGTCCATTGTTTATGAGGTATTGGCAGGAGACGATAATTACTTCTCTCTCCCCTTTCTTTCTTTCTTTCTTTTTCTCATGAAAATCAAGTAGTGTCTTTTGCCCTCTTTCCACGCGATCAAAACGGAATAAGTCCATTATTCATGAAGTATTGGCAGGAGACATTAAATACTTCTATCTCCACTTCTTTCCTTTTTTCTTTCTTTCATTCCTTCTTTCATATATTTTCTCAATGAAACACAGTAGTCTGTTACTTATAAGTTATTGACAGGGCGTAACGGTCGTTCACACTAACGAATGGAGGGATAATCACAATTATAATAGAATAATATATCTTATATAAAACTAATGCATCTTCCTGTCTCACTCTCGCTCGCTCTCTCTCTGTCTCTCTCTCTCTCTCTCTTTTTCACTCCATTAGTTCAAGATGGAATAGGTTAATGAAGACTACATTATGTTTGTATAATGTAGTTAGCAAGACGAGATGTAAAATGGACTTTTGTTTTCATCCTCTTTTGAAGAAAAAAAAAGCCAGTCCTATATTTCTCACATTCAGGAATCTTTGATTTGTCATTCTGCAAATTGAAGCAGAAGACATTTCATTTGTGTTATGGTCCGATTCCTTGTACCCCGGGTGATAGTCCAATGTAGAACCAATAAAGAAGAACTCATACGCAGGTATGGAATAACACAGATATATTACAAACAGGAATATATACAGAAAAGTAGAAGTGTTAGTATGAACAATCAGGTTTAGTAGAGAGAACAATGTAGTCTCGGCCAGTATCACTATTCCAATATCTTGCAGTAATTGTCTAAACGAGACTCTGTTTCGGACTGCCTCTGACTCGACTCTTGACTCGATTAAACTACTGACTCGACTTGAACTACTGACTCCACCAGAACTACTGACTATATTTAGTCACCCCCCCCCCACGTGGGCATCATGTGGCGCAAGGCCGGTTTTAACGTGGGATCTCCGAGCCCGTGGGCTCGGCCAAAAATATGCCCATTGAACCCGTATAAACGGGTTCAGGGTCGGTTTACCTCCCCGAAAGAGAATCCGCCCTTCGGCGTAGCCTCCTTCGGGTTCCTCCCTGCCCGAAGGCAGAGAGTTCAACCGATCTGTCGTTCAATACTTGAGCGACTGACGATATTCAGTCACCCCCCCCCACGAGGGCGTCATGTGGCACAAGGCCGGTTTAACGTGGGATCTCCGAGCCTGTGGGATCTCCGAGCCTGTGGGATCTCCGAGCCTGTGGGCTCGGCCAAAAATATGCCCATTGAACCCGTATAAACGGGTTCAGGGTCGGTTTACCTCGCCGAAAGAGAATCCGCCCTTTGGCGTAGCCTCTTTCGGGTTCCTTCCAGACCGAAGGAAGAGAGTTCAACCGATCAGCCGATCGAGACTTGAACGACCGACTCCTTGCCTACTCCTGAGGCGCAGTATTTATTAAGTATGGAATAGTCCATTATTATTATCATGGGTAACATCCCATAACAATCTGTTATAAATTTGTCCCTTTGGTCTTTTCTAAGAGCTTACCAAAATAAATTAATACAAATTTATCTTCTTCTTCTTTTATGCGCCATATCTTTTAAGGATATCGGTGATCATAATGCTCTACACCTTCCTCTTGCTCTAAATAAGACATTGTTATTTTATCATCCCTCATTGTCATTGTTTTGCTATCCATTCACTCAAACTTGCTAAGGAGGTTACCCACTATTTCTCTTGCTTTCACTATACCCTGTGAGTGTTAACGTCTCCAAGCCCTCTTTCCTTATTATGTGTTCCAGAAGTTTCAGCTGTTCTTACTGATTGTAAGTATGACTTTCGTTGTTCCTATTTTCCTTAAGACTTTCTCATTGCTCAAATATTCTATCATCCATTCACACGAACAATGATTGACTCGTTTTCTGCGGTTTATCAACCCTTTACAAGTTATTTAAAGTCAAAAAATATATTAACATTGTAAGAATCAAAAAAAAAATAATTGTTTAGTGATACAAGTCTTACTAATTAACCCATAGCTTGGAGGAGAAGAGGTGAATTCATACCATTTCGCAATGGTATTTCCACTTAAGTGAATATAACGACTATATTGGAAACTCGGCTCTCCGATTAACAATTCCGAGCCGTTATCCATATTACCACAAGCACATCCAAGCTTACGACACCTGGTATTTCCAAACGGAAATGAGAGAGAGAGAGAGAAATATAAAGAGAGAAATAGAGAGAGAGAAAGATAGAGAAAGAGAGAAATATCATAAATTTATTGCCTCTTTTAATAATTATGATAATCCGTAGGATGAATGAAACTGTTATTCAACACGTAGTATATCAAATGTTGGAATCCAAGAGGAGACAACTATCCTCGTTACTTGTTCCATGAAATTGTATCTTCTGCAATGAGGTTATTTTATGGCCGATTAAAATATTTTAAAGTTTATCAACTTGAAAAAAATTGCTCACTAAAAAAAAGAGAAAGGCTTATCTGAGATTTAGTCTCTGAAGTTTAAATTTTGTTAGTTTTATAGTACATCTACTCCTGGTTGTTGGTGAAATCAGTTCGATTGGAGGATTGGAAACAGACTTTACTAATTAACCCATACCTGGAGGTGAAAAGGTGGCTTTATACCTTTCCCAGTGGTATCTGCATGTAAGTGAATATAACGGGCCTAACTGGAATTGGAACTCGGCTCTCCGATTAAGAATTGTGCCATTATCCATTACACCACCCAAATATCCAAGCTTACAGCACCTGGTATTCCTAAGCGGTCACCCATCTAGGTACTGATCAAGCTCGATGTTGCTTAACTTCAGTGATAATACGGAAACTGGTGTTTCAATGTGATGTGGTCGTAAGCCTAAAAACGGTTAGCAGAGAATTTATGTGACCGTAAGCCCCATTCACACAAGCTTAAGTAGTTTACTGGCTTTTTCCCACTGCTTCTCTTGTCTTCAGTATGTCCTTTGAGTATTTCACTCTCCAAACCTCCATTTCTCATTATGTGTCCTGGAAATGTTAGCTGTCATTTTCTGACTCTAAGTGTTTTCTTGAATCTAAAAAGATCTATAAATAGAATATTTTACAATGCTACAAATACTAATGACACAAAAATAACGGTTCTCGTTTTCTCCCTAAGGCAGTTGTTCCCAAACGACACAGTGTTCCTCATAGGTACAGCGGAAGAGGATAACAGGTGAGGGAGAATGATTGAAAGACAATCAAAGTTTTAGAAACAGTTTCTAAAAATTCATATGCCAAAAGTAAATATGATTTCAAAATTTAAAATATTCTTATGAATTACTTGTAATTGCATGCTTGAGTCTCCGTATAAATAATTATTGACCGAATTTTATCATTGTGATATTTTTGCATTTTGTCAAGTATTAAGAATATAGTAACTAGTATCCGCAAATGGGGGGTGATAATGTTCTAACTTTGAATCCGCAGTTAAATAACTCTCTCTGTTTTTTTTTTTAAATTTTAAATGTACTTTTTATCACATAAAATTTGGTGCGGCACAAGCAAATTTTAATTCCAAAAATTCTGCCAGAGAGAAAAAGTTTGAGAACCACTGGTCTAAGGAGAAGTATTTAAAATGAATGATGATATAAGATAGGACTGATCGTCTCAAGTTTCTCCTTGAAGTCATGCTAATTTGCTATCATATTTCAGTTACATTCTGACATATTAATGTACAGTTTAGTGCAATTTTGTTTTTGCTTTTTTATTCCTGAATATAGTTGAAAAATGATGCCATCTAGCTGCAACTTGACCTATTTTTATTAAAAAAATTATTTGTAAATAATTTCTACCAGAATGTTTCAGATGAGGAATTATCTTTATAATATGCTTTACTATTTGGTTGCTATACTCCATACTGTTTCGGTCATTGTATTCTCCCGCCTTCTTCAGACATCTGTCAATATACTTGGCAACGTTTGTCTGAATTTTAAACTGAACCTTTTATTATTGTTCTCATTCCACTTTCCATACTTAGGGGATATTTCATATAAGTTAATACTTGTAGTATTAGAGTACCAAAGAGACTTCGTAATCATTTTATCGAAACTTCGGAAAGCAAACGAACTGACTCAAGGGTATAAAATAAATAATATATTTTATTATTTCGATATTAGATTAGAATGAGTCCTTTGATATTCGATGTAGCAAAAAGTTTGTTTATAAGGCGGATATTGGTTGCAGTCTGGAGAAAGGGCATTTCAGCTTGGTAGTGGGGTAGTTTCGGGGGTCACACCTTGCTTAGAAATAAGTCAGCGTCAATCTACTGTTTTGTTGTTGTTGTTTTGGGGTTTTTTTGTTTTTTTTTTTTTTTTTTCTCAAACCTAAGAAGAGCAGAAATATCATGAACAGATTACCTCTTAACTACTTCTTCATGCGTCACGTATGGCTGGTTTCTCCGCGGTAGGGTCTTTTGTTGTCACTCTCGCCGTCGCTTATAGCTTATCGCTCAGGGGTGTCAGCTTATATCCTTTTGACCAGGCTCTGAGAATCAGACGCGAACCATGATTTATTTTTGGTAGATTTGTAGTCATAAATAAGCTGGACCCACAAACGTCCAGCGTTTTGGTGTTGCATTCAGTCTTTTCTTCTTCCTCTTTTTATTTGACGGGTTGCCTTCTTGTTAATTGAGAGAGAAGTTTAAAGAAAGAAAGAAAGGTTTTAAAGGAAAGTGCAAATGACTTATTTTTATTTTAATTCTTTTTATTTTTGTTTATCTTTTATTTTTATCGGGACTCACTAAATACTCACCACTTTTAATCCACTTTGCATCTCTGGTCCAACCCCAGGATTGAACTCACAACTGTTAGGGAACCAGATATGCCTGTTGGTTACAAGCATGGGTCAAGATATCTGGTTCTCTGATTGTTGTGTGTTTATTCCCTGTGCCTGGTACTATTGAAAGATCATATACACTTTTGCAGCAGATTGATTCATTTTTTTATGTCTTGTCAACATTTACAGGTTATTTAGAGCCTTATTTATAACCTGGAGATTTCCATTTTAACCTTTTGTTTAGAATAGTCTGGAACATCAAAGACGATGAAAGGTAGCGAAACAAAATGGCATATATGGGTTGAATGAATCTATGTACAAATATGTAAATATTGTCTTTGAAATTCACTCAAAAAATGCTATGATTGATTGATTTGTTTTTTATGGATCATCAACCTCTTGCAGGTTATTTAAAGCCAGAAAATATTTTTAGATTGAAAGAAGTTTTTGATGATAATAATGATTTACTGATACAAGTCCAATTAATTAACACATAGCTGGGGGCAGAAGAGATGGATTCATATATTTCCCAAGGGTATTTGTGTGTAAGTGAATATAACAAACCTGATTGGAATTGGAATTCAGCTCTCTGATCTCCGAGCTGTTATTCATTACACTGCTCACAAACATAAGCTTACCTGATATTTCCATGCGGTCACTCATCTAGGTACTGATCAGGCTCAGTGTTGCTTATCATTAGTGATCATATGAGAACCAGTGTGTCAACAAACAAGTGACACAAAACTGAATTAGACTGGTGAGTATTAACTGATATGAAATATCCTCTAAGCATAAAAAGCTGATTGAGAATAATTTAATCCTGTGGATTGAATAAAGAGTTCAGTTGAAAATTTTGAAAAGGTTACCAAGTACAATGACAGACACCTGAATATGGGCAAAGGGTACAATATTGATACATTTGAATGATAAAGCATAATAGTAAATAATTTAACTGAATTCAAAAGTAACATTATGATAACTTTTTCTTTTCCAATTTTAGCATGTATATATTTTCTATTTGAACTTTTTATATAGTTTTTGACATTTCAACAGAAACACACCTCAAGAAGAGATAATCATTTTTTCAATTTTATTTCTATCAGTTGTGCAATCCTGATCTCAGATATAAAAGAAAGAATATTTTTAACATTAATAAATGAAATGAAAAGATTAGGAATTAATGAAAAAAACATATATAAGGAATTAATGAAAAAAACATTATCAGGTTTTCTTTTAAGTGTTGTATCATAGCCCTACACAACTTCCTGTCCCTTGATGCTTTAAACAATATTAAACTCTTTATCCTCCCTATTTTGCCCCTGCCTTGCCATTCATTCACACAAACTCATTAGAAAGGTTATTCACTGTTTCTTCTATTTCTTGCCTCAATATGTCTTGTCAGTTTTAAATTTTCCAAGCCCTCTTTCTTCATAATGTGCCCCATAAAATTCTATGGTAAGTCTTATACAAAAAAATAGTAATTTAAAATAAATAATAAATAACCTACTCAATGAATTGTGTGGATAAATAGTAGAACAGAGACAAAAAGGGAATGGCAAAGGGTCAAAAGTTACTTAGCACAACAAAAGACAGGAAGCTGTAGTGAGCCATGATCAGACAGATGTATGCCATCACTAAAAATGAACAGAAGTGGTGCACTCTAAAAAAAACATGAAGTGTTCTTCAAATAAAAAATAATGCACATTTTGTTGAAACCAGAATCAACTGTGTACAGCTCAACTCAAGGGCCATCAATTATTTATTGTCAAACAAAATATAGTCCAATTTGAATGCCAACCTAGAAATGAGTGTGCAAATGACATTGCCTAATTAGTGTGGCATTTTGGAGAGGGAAGTCTTTATAAAAAAAAAAAAAACATTCATTCCCTCAGTTTCTGAGCAGCTATTAACAAGATTCTCCTAAAAACAAAATTTTATGTCTGGGGTCTTGTCAACATGGTGTTAATCATAGCCATCAGTAAATTTATTTGGAATGGGATCACATTAATATTACACTCTTGTAGATAACACTCCTAAAAAATTCCAATGGCATCATTTGCTTAAACCAAAAGAGACTAAATTCTTCCATAATTTTATAAGTAGAAATATTAAATGTCTGTTTCCATCAAGTATTGATATTTTTTCCTAATCAATTTATTTCAAATGGCTGCTAACCAGATTTTAACAGCTCTATGTCAAAGGTCATTTTCACTCTTGTGAAATCTAAAATATTTAGTTTAACATGGATTTAATGGCATATAAAATCACTTTTAAAAAATGGCTTCAAAATCTTATATGTGATGTTGAGGTTTTATTGTAGGTTAATTTTTATCCAGACATTGTAGACTTCCACAACTCCTAAATCTATAATAATAATAATAATAATGGCTACCCATATCTGAGGATGCCTGCCTGCATAGAGCAGCTAGCCAATCCCTGTTATAGATGCTTGTTCAGGCACACACATATTTGTTTAACACAAACAGAGCCCACCCGCAACTATGCTGAGAAGACCTTAGTTAACATTTCTTAGCAAGAGCACATTATCTGGTGTGATCAACAGTCTGAATAAGGCCAGTATGCTCAAACCCTCATTCACGATGACTTGTAACTTCTTGCTAGCACAATCATCAAATGGCTCCCAAATAGTTTTGTCTACCAAGGTCAACTCGTGGTGTGGTTTTCAGGCACATTTCCAATAGTCCTACACACTAAGATTGCTTCCCCCAGACTAATAACATCAAGAAGTCTCCTGACAATTTGACCATGGTGAGATCCGAACCTGGGTCTCATAGTCAGAAAGTGTATATTCTAACCACTCAGCCATGTGACCATATATCATCTAAAAATCTACAATAGTATAATATTAAATATAAAACGTTTTCTTGAAAGGAATTGACCATAGTCAGGATGGTCAAATCATTGTGAACAATCCTTTCCTTAGCAGCATAGTAAGTGTTTCGCCAGGGATACCTACAGTTTTGTATTCAGAATTTTCCTTCTCCTAAACTGGTTACTACCCAAGACTACAAAACCCAATCTGTCCTGCTATTTATGCATA